TACATATATATACAATCTCATTTCCATAGAGGGAAGGCGCACAATTCTGGAGCATAAGGATAGTGTGTGAGCAGAGGTGGCACTGGCCTGGCCTTCAACTGTGAGTGGAAATTAAGGTGGCAGGAGACTCAGGGCACCAGAGCCTCAGGTCATGTGGGCAGTGATCCCTATGCATCACTAGGAAAGCTGTCTCCCCATGTCGTTCCTGGTGCTGAATGTAGATAAGGTTTAATCTAAGGTATGGTCCAGCTCTAGGATTCCGGAACATAGAAAAGGGGCCTGAAAGTACAGAAATTAAGGCCCCTGTTGTATTGCAGAAGAAAGAGAAACCTTCTCATTTTTCTGGAGTGTCTATGTTTTGCGTAATACACACAGAAGGGTGTCAGTGTCCTGCCTCCCCATCGCAAGAAAGGCGATCCCTGATATGTGTGGAAGGAGTTGCAAAGTGAATTCACAGACAGCATCAGATTTCATTCTCCTGACAGCCTTGCCAGGTGAAGCTTCCCTACTCTGTTCAGGGAATGTCGAATGAAGGCATCCAACATTCCTTTTGTGAGTTATCTTCTCCCTCCACATTTAGATAAATGGAAATTTGAGTGTCATGGTCAAATAAAGCCTGGGGTCTTGCTCAGAGGCAGGCCCACTGGGTGGCAAGAGAGGTCAGAACCAGTGGCTCTGTTGATGCCCCTTGCATGTGCTGTCCATAAAGCATGTCTAAATTTCTACTGTTTATGTTAAAAACTTGGTTCCTATCGCCATCACCTTGATTTGCAAGCGTCACCACCATTCCTCAAGAATGACAGAAATTATCCACTCTCAGGCGCTGGGACAGAGGGTCAGGGTGGCATTGGATCTCCAATGGCTGTAGCAGTTATCCAAGGGTGCTTCCAGAAAGCCAAGAGCTGGGCATCCTTCTCCAACAAACCCCTTCCTGACTGGGCTGTGTGAGCAGCAGCAGGACATTTTCATTGTTTTAGGAAGGTTATTCTTATGCATCCCTTTCTATTTAGACCTGATCTGGAGTGCTCCACAACAGCTCCGTGAAATCTCACAACTCTTGGAGGTAGGTACTATAACTATGGCATGGTAACAGATAAGGAAACCGAGACTCAGAGTGCAGGCTATCTGCTCAAGGTCACACCGCTATGATACCAAATCAAGTCCACCTGCTTTATCCTCCAGTGCAAGATCTGGAGTTCCTTGGGCCTAAGACAGTATGTGGCAATTCTCTCCGGTGTGGGAGAGGGAGAGGGAGAGGGGTGTCATACTCTAGGGCACAGAGTCTGAGGCGGGATTCTAATTGGCTCTTGAGCCTCTGTCCTTTGATCCAAACCGGTGAAAACAACAGGAAAGCCAGTTTCTGTGGAAAACTCCCCTTGGTAGTGCACAATCCCCTAAGGCAGAGGCGGGAATCCCTAAAAAGAGATTCTAGACCGCTCTACCTTAGCATGAGAGGGGAAGGTGGAGTCAGAGTGCTGGGGTTGTGGTGGGGAACATTCTTTGTATTTATTTACCCCAGCTGGAGGAAGAGAATGCCTGGGTTCTTGGAGAGCTTTGCAAAGCATGTAAGGAGGCAGGCTTAGGATGTGCGAGTGGAGAGAGTGAGAGCGGAATTTTGGCTCGAGGCTTGAGCGGAGAGAATAGGGACAAATGTTCCGGTGGCTTTGGCCGGAAGGATCCCAGCACCCGCTGTCTTTTCTCCTGGGCAGAGGCCAACGCAGTAGGACCGCTACAATGCGCGGCTTCATTGGTTGACGCTTCTACTTGGGCGCACGTTTCATGGCGCGCGCGCGCGCGCGCATGTGTGTGTGTGTGTGTGTGTGTGTGGTTGGGAGTAGGCTCTGGCCTTGAAGTCTCTGATAATCAGGGGCTCTGTGCATGCGTGAAGCCTGCAACCTTAAAAGAAATTAAGAACGTGTGCTGACTATCTGCAAATTTTCCGCGCTCTCAGATACATTTAGAAATTAGCTAGTGTCTGCCCCTCCTGCACAGATCGGAAAATTGAGGGCAGTAGAGGAAGAGATACTTGTTCAAGGTTACAATGCAAAATTATGACAAAACCAGGACTATGGACCTTTAGGTGTGGAATGATTAGAGTCCCAGCTGGAAAGCAATTCAGGCACATGGTTTATACCAATGTGAAACAAAATGCACTTAGATGCATAGATGTTGATGATGCGCTCTTACCAAGCCCCCTTGCTGGAGAGAAGGGTATGGGGTGCCAGAGGTTTTTTCTAGACGCCTCCTAGCGGCCTGCACCCAGAGCTCACAGCTGGGGCAAGCGAGTAACAGCAAGTGCCTAAATAACCTATTTCACCAGGTGGTTGAAGCTTCCTGGGTTTGGAAAGCAGGTGGTGTGGTTCTGCTTTAGGCCTCATCGCCTCCTACGCATCCAGAAGAAGAGATAACTGTGATTTTAGAGACCTCTCAGCACCTTTCTTGGGGTGGGGCATGGAATGGGAGGAGAGGCCAGAGGTGTGAATTCAACACTGTTCAGCAAAGTCCTGTGGGGTCAGCAAGCCATAAATTGCTGTGTTTGGGGCCGGGGCGGGGAGGGGCGGGTGGTGGTGGAGCTGTGTGGGTTGGGAGGTTTACAGAACCGACTTCTGTTGGGACAGATTTAGTGCTATACTTCCCAACCCCATCAGTTTTTAAAGAGGAAACAGACAGAAAAAAGAGGTGATTCTCCTCGGGAACCACCGGTTCTTCCTACCCGTCGCCACGATTATTGTTCGGACAAGACTCAGCCAGCCACACATACCAAGGGAGGCTCCTTGGATCACCCCGACGGATCCTTATCCACAAAAGGAAGTTCAATGAGAAGCCATTATCCGGATAATTCACCACGACCATCCCTGCACCCAGGTCTCTAACCAAAACTGCCTATTTCTCCTGGACAAACCAACTAGATGATTACCCTCTGCTTCCTTCTGCCTGAGCAGAGCAGACGAGACATGACACGCGCGCCCATGCCTCCCTCCCCTGCCTCCGCCGGAGCGGTACGGAGATGGGACCCGTTATTCGATCCGCTTTCCTCGCAGCGCCGCGTCCCAAGGTGCCCCGAAGCTGGACCAGGCTCCAGCCAGAGAGCGCCAGGGCCGAGGGCCCAGGAAGGGCGCCTGGGCGGGCGCTGTCCAAACGGCCGAGCGACGGCTGCAAGCGCCTCCCTCTCCCTCACGGCGCCAGCACGCGGCCCCGCCGGGCTCGGCTCCCAGTCGCCTGCCACCGGCCCGCCGGGCACACGCCTGGAGCCGGATAGAGGCTGCGCCAAGGCCGCCGAGGTGCCTGCGGCGGCGCCCAACAACCAGAAAAGCTCCTCTGGCCCAGCCCCTCGAACTCATCACCCACCCCCCTCAGTGCCCCACATCTTTATTCTCAGACCCAACCCGGCATATCCCAGCGCACTCCCTTCTTTATGCGCCCTCCACCCCTAGCCAGTGTGAAAATTATTCTTTGGGGGGTCGAGAATGCTACAGGCAGCCGGAGGTCATTCTGGGGCATCCCTGATGTACACACCTACCTAAAGGCCCTGGTCACAGTCACCCCTCAATGCGACCACCTCCCTTCTCACACTTGCTCAATCGTGAGGAGCACATGTTAGTTTGTAGACCTAGATGGGGCATTAGAGACCATCTAATCCAACCTCTGCTGTTCCAGACAAGGAAACTGAGGCTCAGAGAGGATGCCACTTCCTGGGGGCCACAGAGCCAGTGAGAGGACGCATTGGGACTAGAACCCAAGTCTTAGAAGTACTTTTAGTGTAACGGTCCAGGAATTCCGACGGAGTTGTCCCCCTTCTTTCCGAACTTCAAACGCAAATTTGCTTCAGCTCCCAAGGACGGCGAAGACCCCCAAGAATGACAGTGGGTAGGAGAAGAAACCAGGAAATATGGAGCCCCACTCCTCCCCTAACCTCCACATGCCCTGTGCCACTTTTTCTGCCCCCAACCCTTTCCTGTGCTTTGCTCCAAGTCCCCAGGAGAATTCAGGGGCACTTCACCCCAAACCTGTCCACTCACACACCCTAACTCCCAGAGCTATTCGCCCCTCCTGCGACACCGCCCCCCCCTTTTCCAGAGCCACCCCCCCGACTGCAGCCCGCCCCGAGCGCGCCGCCTGTTTATTCAGCCGGGAGTCCGGCACGCGCCAGGCGCACGCACTGCAACAACAAACCCGGTTGAATGGAGACTTTGCAAGGAGCGGGTGCAGGGGATGGGCGGGGGGAGGGGAGGAGCGGAGGGGGAGTTTAGGGAATGGGTGGGAGGAGGAGGTAAAAGGAGGGGGGAATGGGGGCTGCAGCCGCTCGCAGCAGCAGCGGGGAGTGGGGGGCGAGGCGGGGCCAGGGCTGCGCGTGGGGCTGGGTGTCCCATTGAAAAGGCAGACGCTCTCCGTCCGCCCAGCACTCTCTCACTTCTGGCCAGGGAACGTGGAAGGCGCACCGACAGGGAGCCGGCCAGGGAGGGCGAGTGAAAGAAGGAAGTAAGAAAGAAAGGAGGTTAACAAAATAAGAAAAACGGCCTGAGCCACGGCTGGAGAGACCGAGACCCCGCGCAAGAGAGCGCAGCCTTAGGGGAGAGGAATTGGAGATTCAGCAGAGCGCGCTCACCACTGACTTTTGCTGCTTCTTTGCCTTTTTT